AAATTGATTTATAAAAAAAAAAAAAAAAATGCTGAATGGACAGACGATAAAATGCGAAAAATCCCGAACATTTTACACACCTGAATAAAGTTGATATACTATTGATGAGATTGCGTCAAATATACCTGAACAGAACAGACCATAATAATATATTTCTAATTGAATACACATATAATATACATAGAAAACATTCAGCCAAGCAATGGAAAGGAACGAAATGATTTCATATTCTAAGCTATTGCAAATAAAAAATATAAAAAAAAATAAAACTTCATTCATTCATAAAATTACTAAGTTAAATATTTTCAAAGATTAAATTAAAATTTTTCAATTTATTTATTACATACAATAATTATTACATATACAAATCTAATAATAATCAAATTTCTATACTTCAACATTTTCGATTAGAAGGAATTTATTTTAAGGCATTCATAATAGTAGGATAGAATAACAATTAATTATAATGTGTATACTTATATAACTAAAAATTGCATGATAAAAAAAATAATAGATAAAAGAAATCATAATATTTTTATTTCTAGTAAAAAATGAGTTTTATATTGTTGAAAAATGCTTATCATTTATAACTATATGATATTAAAATTATCAGTAATAGAGATAAAATGAGATTAAAAATGATTAAAGTTATATGTCACATTCTGTATATAATCAATTTTTATAACGAAATACGATAAAATGAAAAAAACGGAATGACAAATCGAAAATATAATTATATCAAATAATTATATCAAAATAAATGATTATCATTTCAAAAAGCTGGGCAAGAAAACGTCAGGCAAATTATAAAATAACAAGAAATGGAAAAATGCTTATATCTTAAAAATTAGGATTTTCTTGGATATGACAATATGGGGGAAAAAAAAAACCTGCATTCAACTCACGATTAGAGGAAATATCCAGACCTGCTTGAGTTTGGTTAACTTCAGCTGCCTTGATAGCATCATCCAGTCTTTGATTAAACCATTCTTTGTATTCCCTATATTTAGCTTCCCCAAGTTGTTTTATACGTGGATCTGTTTACGTTTGTCCATTTTTTTATGCCTCTAATCTTTTTTGCCTCACGTTTCCATGTATTTAATATATTCTTATTAATTTTTATACTTACCGAATTCTATTTTTTCTGGGAAAATGTTTTTAACAACCATAAGAGATTCGCGAATATTTTTCCATTTTTGTTCATTAGGAAATATATCATCTAACCAGCTCATGTCTGGCATAACTTCCTTCCATTGTTCATATTTCTTTAATAAAAAATATTTATATACTTAATATATATTTATATAGATAAGTAAATTATTAAAATATTTACTTATCTGATATTGTTTTAAATACCTTTTGCAAAGTTACTCCACTACCAACTGCTCCACCCAATAAAAGATATCGAACTTTCAGTGCTCCTTTTAAAATTCTTCCAATAAACATTGCATATGCACGATTGGGATTTCCAAAATAACGTATATGTGGTGATGCTAATAATGGTCGACAAGTTTTATTCATTCTACCCGATGTTAAATTTTTTGTATTAAATAGAGGTACAGGATATCGTGATGTCTTTGAAATCAGCACAATCCTGTCTCTGTAGAAAAAAATATTTAATAATTAATATTCATAATTTATTTAACTTTATTCTTTTTATTATTATTCGGATTTTTAAAAACATCCGAAAAGAAAAAAAAATTGAATAGAAGTTAAATAAAATATTTTATTAAAAAATAAAATAGCGAATAAAAAAAATTATAACATATTCTATTTTTTTAATTAGATTTTAAATTAAATGTTAAAACATAACCTAAAAGTTACAAAACGTATCGTTTAAATATATATAAAATTTAATGCAAATTTATTTTAAATTGCAACAATTTTAATTTCTTAAAAAATTAAAATTTTTTTTTTTAAAAATTCAACAGTCTTACCCTATTTTGCCGCAAAGAATTTGTTTCATTTTGTATGATACTCAGTACGAACAGTACGTTAAGAAAAACAATTACTAAAATATATATATTTTTTAAGATATATGTATATCATATATCAAATTTATGTTGTAAAAATTCTAAAATTCAGAAAAAAGAAATGATGCTGTTAATAATACATGCTTTTGTATACTTCAATCTATTCTAATAATGTATGCAGACATTACAAAAAGGGAGACACTGTTTTGGCAAAGCACATGCGTGAAAATATATATGTGCGTTAACTCTTTTTCTTTTACCAATAGTATAGATTTAGTTACAAAATTCTACCAATCAAATAATCGAAACAACAATAAAAGATGCAAAATAATTAAAAACAATTAAAACAATTAAAATAGTTAAGTTTTTATATATATATATATTATATGAAAATTGTAAGTTACATTTCTGATACACGTTAAAAAGATTTTTTGTCCTCATTAGAATAAAATTTATCTACATGCACAAAAGTCACGGACATGAATGTCTTGGATTCGAGCCCGCGCTTTTTTGGGATTTAAATTTAGAATTTAAAATTGACCAATAGGATAGATTATTTTCTCTTAAAATTCTTTTTAAATGTCATAAAAAATGATTAAATTTATATAAATTATATTAAATAGCAATATCTTCATTTGAAATTTATTTAAGTTTTAATGAGCAATAATTTAATATGAGGTTATGTAATTTTTGTTATTTTGAAAATGTTAAATTATAAAATATTAGCAAACTGACCATTATATTAGCAAAGAATTTTATTAACTTTTTGTTAACTTTTTGTCACTATTTTTAATTATGCATTATAATTTTAAAATATCCTATGCAAAATATATAATAATATAAAAATTCTATTTTCCATTTGTATATAATTTTAAGGAATATTAATTTTTGTAAAACAAGTTTACAGGTTTATTTGTGAAATATAAATGATAAGAAATAATTCTTTAATAATTTTATTTTTCCTTTGCAATCCTTATATTACAAAACATACTTTTCCAGACACATTGAAAATATGCTCTATTTACAATCGGATTGTTGCCTAGTTTTGCTTTGTGCTAACCATTATGTTGTCGCTGTTGTTTTTCAGGTTCTTCGTCTTTACAGGAATAATATTAATATATCTATTCGCATAGGCTCTTGTATGATAATATGATTATGGCAGTACATTTACATTAAATTCTATATCATTATTTTTTTCCTTTTAATCATTTCTGTTATACATTTAATTTTTCA